AGCTGGATTCTCTGAGAGTGTTTAACTAAGAGTCAAACCATAAGGAAGGTCAGACTTCTAATTACAGAATAGTAATCAGGCTGAAATGAACTGATAAGGCTGAGATAATTGTGAACCAAATGCTGTAAATTCAGCTAGGTTGCAATTCCAAGGAACTGTAATAGGAACACAAATAGTATAAGAAAACCAGGAAGCTATGGTTGTTGAAACCAGTGATATAACACTAATGATGCTGAAAATGTATAGTTGAAAATCCCAATAAAGCTTTCCAATCATTGATATCAAGAAAAATAGTTCCTAAGTTGTTGTTTTTGTTTTCCTCATTTTTCCATCTCCTCAGCCCCATGCGTCAAAAAGTTTGAGATTCCACTTTGAGGCAATTTTACCCTCATGGGGTAGGCAATCTGCCAACCTTCTTCAAGTCCAATTTGGCTAATTGTTCATCTGTGTCTTGATTAGTTAAAAGGTTACTTCCAGCTGCTTTTAGTGCTTTCTGACTCAAGTTCAACATTCTTTGTCAGCTCTTTGACAAAGGATAAAGTTTCTTTCAAAAGCTCCTTCATTCAACAATAGGTGATGTGTGACATCACTATTGTTCACAGAAATGTATTGCATTCTAAAGCCCATATTAATGATATTGCCAATTAAAAGACCGCTAAACTGTGAACTTTACTGAACTAGAATGTGCTCTGATAAATACTGCTTGAACAATGAAAGAAATTCATGAACAAGGGGTAATATAGTTTCCCAACTGCTGCCTTTAGGAAGACTATCTAGTGAATAACACAGTTCCTAGAGAAACTTATGTGAAAGCTTTCAAAACAATTTTTTTTAAAGTCAAGACAACAATGCACCATGAATGATCCTCTATGGTGTAACAATAAAAAAAAAACAATCAGACCTTTTATACTATGTAGTAAATTATTGTGTATTATTTTTTCTAAGTCAATTTATTTCCCAGGAGTGCTTTCTCTGTTTTCACATAGAATTCTTTTCCTTTTTTAAATAAGTCATGTTGTATAAATGTTGTCATTGTAATTCAGCCATGGCAGCTACATCACCAGCAGCTTGGGCTGGTTCTGTCAACCCTCATGCATCATGAGCACCTTAACTATACATTCTTTTTTGTACATTGGTGTTTGAGAAATGGAAGAAGAATGGAACCATTCAGAGAAAGTCAGTCTATTTATGATAACTTTTTCTCACAATATTTATTTACTTATTCACTTTATATGCTGCCCACTATACTGTCAAAGTAATTCTAGTAATTTTGCATAATGAAAATAACAACAGCCAGAATGAGCCTAACACATACTACTGTTGATTAGCAATTACAAAGACATTCATTTAAAATATCTATTTTCTTGACCTATGGACAATAGTGATATACCATTCTTTAAAAAGGTTTGTGCTTGAAAGAATATTCTCAACTTTATACGTATTGGCATAATGATAGTAGCTAAAATGATTTGTACAGTTAAATCAATTAAACAAAATATATTCACAGAGAAAATGGAAGTATCAGTAATGTTTTATTAAACTAATGTATTTATTTTCTATTGAACTTGCATTGCTGTTGGTTCTCTTATAATGTCATAAAAATGAAGAATGATGAAGAAAGTAATCTGTATCAAATATAATATTGAATTACAGTAGCAACACAAAAATATATTTAGAATGTGTGTGTTTGTGTGTAGGTGTAGGTGTAGTAAGCATCATTTAAGAAATAAATCAGGTGGAATATTATGCAGTCAAAATAAAACCAAAAAGGTCAATAACCTTTATAATGTTGAAACACCTCATGTCTTGCTGGTGATATAGGAGGCTTAGTACTGGTGCAAAACTTCATTCAGCTGCTGGAGATGTGCGTATATTTGAACTTCCTGTCCAGAAAATTTCTCCAGAAGGGTACAATTAATATTGCCAGAATATTGGAATGGGCATATTACATGGTCGCCATTCCCTCAAGGACAGAATTGTTTCTAAAATGTTGTTGCTTTTTACTATCCATCCATTATTCATGGTGGGGAAAGAGTATTAAAAAGAGCCTAAAATATATGTGATGTTTCAGCAATGAGATGATCATGCTAAAAATAGCTGTCTAGCATGTGTAGAGCACTTTTCATACTTGATGTCATAGAGAGTTTAGCTGCCTGGTCTGCAAATGAAATTCTATTGCCAAGTTTGCTGGTGGGTGTGATGGCTGGAGCTGGATCAGTAATGGATTTAAGTAATGAGCTAATTTAAAAATTGAAAAGTGTGTTCAAATTGATTCCTTTCTACATTCCCTAGCATTACAAAAATACATTACAATTTAAATTATTACATATAAATTGTTCATTAAATGATATATTCTTATTAATTAATTTTGTTCTTGCTACCTATTCAATGTTTTATTGAAATAATACTCAATTTTTGAGCTATATCAGCTTTTCTCAATTTTGTGCCTTCACAAAATGAATAAAAAATAACTTTTATTTTAGTTTAGTGTACTGAAGGTAGAATAAATGGTCAGAAGTATATTATTACTTTATTTAGTTTATATTTATTCAGATTGATAGGACTTCATAGACAACATTTCTAAATGGGATCTAATTGCAGTAGACCGACTCTGTATATGAATATTTAACTAGCTTTGTTATTTGAGTTGGTGGGCTGGGAGCAACAATATTGAAATATAGTCTTGAGAATACAGATCCTAATTTGCAAAGAGTAGTGTACATGTGTGCCTGGTGTGATATTGACCTTTTGCTGAATTTCTGGCACTGTCCAAAATGTGTCAAAATTGACAGAAATTATGTCCTTGTCAATTGTATTAGCAGGTAATGTTGCATATATCAGAGAAATGAGTATGGTTGGTAGCATATTTTCCTTGTTCTTTTTCTAAAAAGCATTAGATGAAAGCCTTGATATGCATATTCATGGTGTCCATCTGTTGACAACCCTGATACGTGGAAAAATCAATTTGGAATGTAAATAACAAATATAAAAATAAGACAAAAATGTGCATTTGTAAAATTAAAAATATATATTCCTGCCTCTCATAAAGCAGCATGAGACTCCCTTGCTCACTGTGTTTTGAAAGGTGCCATAGAAACCTTTTTAGTGGTTCCTCTGTAGAGATAGACCTCTCCTTTTTCTCTTGCACAGATCTTGCCATGTAGACAATCTAGGAATGATCAGTGATGAAGCTGGGAATGCCAAGGTCTGAATTAGTGATTTGTTTGGTGCCTATTGGCCAGGTAAATAAATGCTACAAGCATTCTTCCTTCCTTTTTCAGTTTTAGGACACTGCAATTCTATTGCTATCTTGTTCTAGTGGACGATCACTTGACTATGAGCCAGCAGTGTGCAGCAGCAACAGCCAAAAAAGCTAATACAATCCTGGGTTGTATAAACAGAGGCATAGAATCAAGATCATGTGAAGTATTAGTACCACTTTATAAAACTCTAGTATGGTAAGACCACACCTGGAATATTGCAACCAATTTTGGTCACCATATTACAAAAAAAAAAAATGTTGAGACTTTGGAAAAAGTTCAGAGAAGAGCAACTTAGATGATCAAAGGCTTGGAGACTAAAACATATGAGAACAGCTGCAGGACTTGGGTTTGGCTAGTCTAAAAAAAAGAAGAAACAGGAGTGACATGATAGCAGTATTCCAGTATTTGCCACAAAGAAGAGGGTGTCAAACTTTTCTCCAAAGCATGAGAGGGCAGGACAAGAAATAATGGTTAGAAAGTGACCAAAGAGAGAAGCAACCTGGAATTAAGGAGAAAGTTCCTAACAGTGAGGACAGTGAGGACAATTTCTGAATGCCTTGCCTCCAGAAATTGTGGGTGCTTCATCACTGGAGATTTTTAAGAAGAGACTAGACAGTCACTTGTCTGAGATGATATAGGTTCTCCTGCTTGAGCAGGGGCTGGACTAGAAGACCTCCAAGGTCCCTCTCTATTCTATCTTATTCTAGCTGTGAGAAGACTAGACTTCCATAGGCTCATCCCTTCACCCTTCGCAAGTTGAAATAACATAAATGAGGATTGGCAATTCAGAAAAGGGATCAATATACCCATGAAAACTTCATTCTTGAAAGAGATATTATTCTGCAAAGATAAAAGAGTTCCATTTTAGTGCTCACTATGTCCTCCTAGGCTTCTATAGGTGGGGCATTTCAGTTGAAAGAAGCGGTATTTTCCCTCCTTGGATTTACTTGTTGCTTAACTTTTCACATTTCCCCCTACAAATTGATTTTGTAGAGATAGTGTGAAATTATTTTAGAATTTCCCATATCCATTCACACTTTCTCACCCAACCAAATGTCTCTTTGCTCCCTTGAGAGATTTGCTAATATAGCTCAGTGGGTCACTTGCAACATAATTAACTTCCCTGTTAGTTGTATAGACTACTAAAATCTCAGAGAAAGCCAACAGGTCTCGTTTAGAGGGATGAAAAATGTGCACAAGAAAGTGAAGGTAATGAAAAAATTGTATCCACTGGAGACAGCTAACATGAATTTTCTGGTGAACCTATAAAAGGGGGAGTAGGTGGGAGAGAAATAAATCCCAGGTTTATCTTTGCTAATTAAATGAGTTCAACTTCAAAAAAAAAAAAACCCTAACCTTTTTGGTCATGTTTCCTCTTTTCCCATTTGAGATGTGATAAAAATGCTTCATTAGATGGAACAGAAAATGATTGCCTTGAATCCGGCTGGGGAAACCTTAAAGCATTTGAAGTATTCCCAGAGATTTTTTTTTTTTTGAGGGGAGGAAACGTCAGGTTAATCATTCCAGACAATCAAAGCTTCTTCATTCTTTCACTGCTACCGTGTTTCCCAGAAAGTAAGGCCTACCCCGAAAATAAGCCCTAGCTTGATTCTGAGGGGGTGGGCCTAACATAAGCCCTACTCCAAAAATAAGCCCTAGTTTTGGGGCGAGGCACACACTTAAAAATCAAGCTAGGGTAGAGGGTTGGATCTGCCCCATGTGCCCCCACCTACTTACTTTGTAGCCAGGTCTCTCCTTACCAGCCCACTTCTTCTGAGGCATCTTCTGCAGCCAGGCCTGCTTTCTCAGTCACAGGCCTTTCCAGAAGGCCTGTGCAGCTGAGGGCTGAGCTATGGATTGAATCCATAGCTCAGTACTTGGCTGCATAGGCCTCCTGGAAGCGCCTGACTGCAAAATGCAGGCCAGAATGCAGATGTGGAATGAAGTTGCTCCTTAAGCCTCAGAAGAAGTGGACCTGCTGGGAGAGGCTGTCGGTGTCAGAGTGGAGTAAGACATCCTCCGAAAATAAGACCTATTGCCTCTTTTAGAGGGAAAAAAATAAGACCCAGCCTTATTTTGGGAGAAACATGGGTTATCTTTCCTTGTTTTCCTCCCTCTTCCAGAGACATGGGTAAGACAACCTAGCACAAGAAGGGGGACTTGCAGAGCTGATTTCAAGGATCAGGCATTGAGTGAGAGAAGGATGGCAAAAGCTCTACAACCAGATCTGTTCAAAGATTGTATTTTAACCAAAATACAGGAGAAAAACCAGGGCAATACAGGAGAAAAGCCAGGGCATGTCAGTCTGGGGTGGCTGAGATAGGCACCAAAGCAAAGGAGTGAAGAAGTGGGGGGAGGGCTCAGGATGTAAAGGGAGGTTGCTTGAGATGGGGGGGGCATCCTTTCCCCTTTCCTCCTTTTGGACATGCTGCTAGCAGCAATAACTGCTGGGGATGCAGATATCTGATGATGATGATGTTACCTAATTGGGGTAATGAAACGTCTGCAAGAAAATAAGCTCAGAGAGCTCCAAGGACCCCTCATGCAGATATCTGCACCTTAAAGGGTCCGATGAAAGTATTCAAGTATTTTTCCCACATATTCATTTTCTGTGTGTGTGTGTGTGTGTGTGTATGTGTGTGTGTGTGTGTGTGTGTGTCCTCTTTTCATTCAGGTGCTCAAGGCAATGTACATAGTGTTTCCCCATATATTTTCCTACAACAGGTTTATGAAGTAGATTTCTCTCAGAGAGAATGACTGGCCTACAGACACTAATTACTGTGACTAAAAGTGGGTTCAAATTTGGATTCCCCTGGAGAAAGTGCAATACTTTAACTTATTAAACCACACTGGCTTTCATTCTCTAGAGATCTCCTAGAAACCTGGGAGATCAATAGTTATATGAAAAGATGTTATATCCCTGGCTGTTCTACACAAGGCATTTCAGGTGTATGTGGCACTATGTATTTCTCTGGCTTTCTTTCAGATAGCACTATGCTATTAATTTATAAACACAGTGACAGTCTTACTGCAAAGAACAAATACAACTGGACTAGTTGCTCTACATATCCCATGTAGAGACATTGATAGTTGCTTTTTCTCCTAATAGGTGGCACTGGATGAAGAGGAAAGGAAAACAGGGAACTTACCAATCATCAGGGGATTGGACTAGAAGACCTCCAAAGTCTCTTCCAACATCATCATCATCATCATCATCATTATTATTATTATTACCATATATTGATGTACATTAAAAATGGTAATGGCAACTAAGGTCCAGTAAAGCTCTGCCAAGGGTGCAGCACAATTTATATGAACATTTATTTAATTTTATCTTTTTTTTTTGCTGAAATTAGGAAGAATTCATGTTAAAATAGCTGTCTGAATACATCATAGGAGAAAAAGGAAAGATGTTATAGATCTGAATGAAAATGGAGTGGCAGAGCACTGCAAAGGTGATGGACCATTAGAAAATATAAGAATAAATGAGAATGGTGACTGATGAGTCTATCTGCTTAGCAAAAGGCCTGTGATTCAAATACATAGTTTAATCAAGTCATTTCGTCCATATCAGTGGAAGTAGAATGAAAACATGATTGAAAAAGTCTGTCTCAAATATATAGTTCAAACATATCTTTCCATGCATTTATGTTGGAAAAAAGGATGAATAAAAGCATGATTGATCTGAATGTTTGTAATGAAATAGAGAATTACTGAAGAGTAAAATATTCTGAATGTGAACTATCATTTGGTCCATTATTTGACAGTGTGAAGAAAAATTCTTGGGAAAAATAAGCCTGGAAGAAATGAAAGATATTAAACAAAAAGAATGGAAGTAAACTGCAAGAAGACAAAGTACCTGCCCTGCACAAAAATATTTTACAACCAGGGATGGGATTCTAATATCTGAACAACCAGTTATCTGCATGGGCACCGCTTCCAGAAGTCTGTTCTGGGCCTGGGCTTCCGAGGCACAGAACGGACTTCCGGAAGTGGCATCCACACACTTCTGGTAGGCTGTTCTGGGCCTTGCAAAAGAGGGCTAGGGCTTCAGCCAGTTTGCCAAAGTTAACAAAAAATTAGCTACCGGTTCTGCCGAACTGGGTACGAACCGGCTGAATCCCACCACTGATTAAACCAATACTGTAAGGATGCCATTAGTTTTTAAACAGTGGCTGATAAATGGTTGGGATCTCCAGGAATCTAGGGTTAAATCCAGGTAACTATAGCATGGGATAGGTTGTTTGAGGGGCAGCCTTACCCTAAACGCATCTATCTGTCCCATTAAGTCCAGCAGGAAGGGAATGTGGGTTCCAACAATGAAGGAATCTAATATGACAGGACCGGGAGTCCCCCAAGAACCCAAAGACACTCAGAAATTCAGACAATATTTGATTTTTAATTTATGCTTCTAGATCAGTGGTTCTCAACCTGTGGGTCGGGACCCCATTTGGGGTCAAATGACCATTTCATGGGGGTCGCCAAACAAGGCTGTCCACCATTTTTTCTCCTTTTCTTTGGCCACGCCCCTGGCACCCGGTGATGTATAAGTGGTTGGGGGTCACCACAACATGGAGAACTGTATTATGGGGTCGTGGCATTAGAAAGGTTGAGAACCACTGTTCTAGATAGAGGATATGAGGAGATCATATTCTCTTTTTGCCAGATTTCTGGTAACTCTGAACATATCACAAGCCCTAGGACTGCCTCTTTTAATTATTTCTGGTTTCCCAGCTACAATCTTTCCTGAACAGATAATCTAGGCTTGTAATTGCACATACTGTAAAATGTTCTATATATTGCTATCTCTGAAATTTCTAGGAGGAGTAGATTGCTGTTACAGTGTTATTAATCGATGTATAAGATCAAACTCAGACCCATTTTCTACAATACATGACAACTCATTTCCTAGCCTACTCTTTTTGGTGATGATTAAGACCAAATGATCCATGGCCTTCCTCTGTTTGCTATTCAGGTTCCTAGCATTAAAAACATCAAGTCTTTACTTCTCTTTCTTTTGCATGTAATCTTTAAAACTGACCTGGGACATGGAAGCCTTTCAGAGAGAGTTTGTCTTCTGACAGCCCTTCAAAAAGGAGATCTTCTTCTTTATATGAAACTGTAGTATTATGCAGAAAAAAAGTGATACGTTAAGGACCCCATTCTTCTGTCATTCTTTCACTGCAAATCATTACCTTTCCTAGACTGACAGCAACTAGGTTTCTGCCTTTGGGAACTTCTGCCAGATATCTAATATAGTTTTCATTGGTAAATCTCTCTCTGCTTTCAAAAAGTAAATGAAAGAGAAAAGAAAGAAAACAAGGAATAAAGAAGGAAATGAGAAAATAGAATAGTGAAGGTTGAATTCTAGGAGGATACTTGTCATAATGTATTCCATACTGTAGATATAGAATGAGAGAAAGAGGAAGAAAATTTTAGACAAATGGTGACATAATCAAACTAATTAAACTTAACATAGTCAATAGAAAGGAACTGACTCTACAAAATGTTTTTCAAAATGATTTGTCATTCTGTCATGTACATCCAAATTTGGGCTACTGTTTCCAAATCATAAACCAAGCATGCAAAAAAAAAAACTATTTTGCACATATTTTAACTGAAAGATTCAAGATAGTTATTAAAGAACAAACACCAAATGACTGAATAATGATTTTTCAGCTGTACAGTATTGCCGAATAGCTAGAGGCCCACATCTAAGGTATGTGTCTATTCATATATTCATACAATTAAAGATGAATACATACCTTATGAATGCATACTTTATGCAGGATCTAGGCATTAACACAGATATATATTAATAAAGAAACAGGGGAAAAACACTGCAAAAATACTTTTTGAGTGACATTCTTTAAACAGACATTCACAACTGGCTGCAATATACTGTAAAAGTGATGCAAAATATAAAGCATACCAATTGCTCCTTCTTCTTTCAATACCATATTCTTAATTACATTCTGCTCCTTAAGACTGTGAGTCCCTAAGGATACCAGCCTAAATTAAAAGTGGCACAGAGATTTGCAGAGAAAGGAAGGAACTGGATAAATTCTCTGCCCATGTTCCATAGTGAGATTTAAGTTGCTGCCATCAGTGGGAAAATTCATTGTTGTAGGAAAGCAATGCAGGATCAAATACATGTTTTTACTCAGTCATCGAATGGCAGTCTACTTTGACATTTGGTTTGCAATAGAATATGTTAAAAACATTAAAGTGAAATTACCCATAACCTTAATTTAGATAATAAGAAAAAATATTTTACCATTAATTTTGAAAATTGAGCAAATATTCAAAGAGGGATACATTTTTAATTTTTATTTATTTTTATCTCATCTTTTTATATATATATAAATAACCCAGGATGGCAAACATATATAATATTCCTACCTCTTCCTTCCCCCCCCCCCACCACCACAACAACAATGCTGTGAGGTGGGTAGGATTTAATGAGAGTGACTGTCCTAAAGTCACCTAGCCAGCTTTCATGTCTAAGGCAGGACTAGAACTCACAATCTCCTGGTTTCTAGTCTGGTGCCTTAATCACTAAATCAAATTGCCTTTTATGCATTTCCCATGCTTTCCAGCTTGCTCTTATCATTGGCAGAGGGGTTGATCTAAAAGAGGTTTTGTCAGCTGTTTCTACTGAATGTCTTCATGAGTTCTGCTACATTGGGAGACACAAAATATATCTAGAGAAAAAAAATATGCTTCTTAGATTTTTGTTGCTGAATTTCTCTCTCTTTTTTTTTAAAGACTCCTCCATACCATGCCCTTAGATTTGTCCATTTTCTAGATATGTTTACCATGT